GGTAACATTGATATTCCGCCTTTCTCACCCCAAAGAGGATTCAGGGCGGAGTACAGCATATACACAGCAAACATTCAATGCCGGGACACAAATTCTTATATACATGCATAAACATTAAAAGCATTTATCTCAATATTAAAATACACCATTTAAAACCGTCCTAGTCATCCGCGTCAAATCTAAACGGCCTGGGAATCTTTCCTATTGCCGCTTTATTGCCCTGTTCCGAAAGCTTGGTCCCACAGCCAAGCTTTGACCATCCTTCTGAAGGACAGGAGGGAGGGGGCCGAACTGATCTCACCAGGAAGGGAGTTCCATAGCCGGGGAGCCATCACTGAGAAGGCCCTGTCTCTTGTCCCCAGAAAGCAGGGCCTCCCCGGAGGATCTTAATCTCCGCGATGGTTCATAGGGGGAGATTCGTTCGGACAGGTAATTTGGGCCGGGGCCATTGAGGGCTTGATAGGCCAAAGCCAGCACTTTGAATTGTGCCCGGTAGCAAACTGGCAGCCAGTGGAGCTGGCATAACATGGGAATTGTGGGCTCCCTATATACCGCCCCAGTTCTTAACCTGGCTGCCTCTCGTTGGACTATTTGAAGCTTCCGAGCAGTCTTCAAAGGCAGCCCCACGTAGAGTATGTTGCAGTAGTCTATCCTAGATGTAACAAGAACATGGACCACCGTGACGAAGTCTGACTTTCCAAGGTATGGGCGCAGCTGGCGCACAAGTTTTGATTGTGCGAACGCTCCCCTGGAGACCTGGGATTCCAGGCTCAGTGATGAGTCCAGGATCACACCCAAGCTGCGAACCTGTGCCTTCAAGGGGAGTGTGACCCCATCCAGCACAGGTTGCGACCCTATACCTTGTTTGGCCTTGCGACTGACCAGGAGGACCTCTGTCTTGTCTGTATTCAATTTGCTTGCCCTCATCCAGACCGTCACAGCGGGCAGGCACCGGTTCAGGACACCTCCTGTAATCTGCTGTCTTTCTTTCTATGTGCTGAGTCAGGTTCAACACTTGTGATGTGCACCTTTTCCCTTTCCCTTTTCCCATAAATGGGTCTAAAATACATGCCACGGGTTCAATATCCAATTTTCCCCCAAATATCCCCACAAGTGCCTGAAGGAGCAATTCCTTTTGTGCTGGTACAGCTGTACCAGGAGCTTCAGCTTCATTTTCTTTCTATTGAGTGTTTGCATATATTCCAAGGTTCCATGCATTTTGCAGTAAGGTGGCTTCCCTTGGCTTGCAATTATAGGGCCAATGACCTGTCTATCATTGTTAAGTTTTGGTTCTGCCCCTTTTTCCAGGGCTCTGGGAGGGAAAGGAAACCATTTTTAGTTCAGTCTTACAGTGGAAAGCTTAGCTACCGAATGTGGATTAGCTCCACCTGTAGAGAAGCTTCGTTTCACCAGAAATTCCGAAGGAAAACAGTTCCAAAGGACTCCAGCTGGAGAATCTACAAAGCCTTGACTGGTAGGTCTACTCAGGACCCAAGAAGCAGTTTGGAGCCGGGAGTAGGGCCCACACCAGCAAAGTTTAGAAAGTATATCACCTAAGGAGGGGTATTTTATTTTGTGTCATCAGCAACCATACCATTGTATTACATTTCTAACAGAACAAAACAAACAAACAGATTTTTTAAAAACCACATAATTTGCAAGCTTGGTAGTTGATTAAATGTCCTTTGACCAGTCTCTGGACCCTTGGAGTGCCTCTGGTGTTGCTGCAAGAAGGTCCTCCATGGTGCATGTGGCAGGGCTCAGGGCGCATTGCAGCAGGTGGTCAGTGGTTTGCTCTTCTCCGCACCCGCATGCCGTGGATTCCACTTTGTGGCCCCATTTCTGAAGGTTGGCTCTGCATCTCGTGGTGCCAGAGCGCA